AGAAAGCTTGTCAGGCTGGGCAAGAAGCTCATTTCCTGGTAGCTTTTGCTCCAACCTGTCTCCTCTTTTTTGTTCTAGAAAGACAGAGCCATGAGAATTTTTTTCATCAAGTCATCTAGTCAATGGTTTCAGCCCTCCTTCCTGGTTGTAAATGATCCATGGATTCTTTTTGATTTGCATTAATTTGGTGGATGTTCAAATAAACCAAATGAATGGTTTATGCAAATTTGACTGTTGCTTTGAGAGATTTCTCATTATTCATGCTGTGTGATTGATTGTCAAAGTCTCAGAGTATTGTTTCTATTCCAGGAGTGGAGAAGTCCTACAACCAAAAGGAGATTTCAAGATGGCCAAACACCATCAGGGCTATTCTTCATACAAACATCAGCTGTTACCAGCATCTAAAATATTTCCCCTTTTTGCAAAAGAAAAATTAATATATAAACAAAGCCAAGGTTTTTGACATGCAGAGCAAAGGGAAAAGGATAATTTAATGAGCCTGCTACTTTTCCCCTGTAGAAATTTTCATAATTATGTGGCACTCACCCAGGAGCAATCTTTGAAATTATTTGACAATCATTTGCAAATACATAAAAATAATTTGTCATATAGGAGATCTTCAGAGGAAATGCCTTTAAGACTTGGTTAGTGGCTTTGCTGATTAGCTAAGCTACCTTAATGTCATGCTCTTTTTTAGGTGATTTCCTTTATAAACAAGTTAATATTGACAATGTTCACCTGGTATTGACATCTAGTCACTGACAGTGGCATGCACTGAAATCAGAAGCTCTTGAGAAAAAGTGGTCGGAACAACCAAGCGTCTTTTGTGAAGAAGTCCCTTGCTTAAACCCAAGATCATACATAAGGGATCTGAATGCTAAATGGGCGGTACTTCAGCCTGCTCTTCCTCACTGTTCCCTCTTCTTAAGCCTTACAAACTTGCTACACTTGTGTAGCTTTTCTGGAAAAAAAAGGAAAAGTACCTAAAGCCCATTCACAAGGGAAGGGAGTTTTCTATACATTAGTATGTACAGAGTCCAGGGTTGGACAAACCCTTAGCACACACTATAAAATCATTATTTTTGTTCACTCTGTGTTTCCCTCTGTAATGGTGATTTAGGTTATTTTCCTTTCACAGACTTTCTTTCTTTAAATACTACACATGATTCTTTAAATACTACACCCATTTCTTTTTACAAGGCCCTTACATTATACTATAGCCAACATGACAGCACAGAGGAACAGTCTCAAACAACACAGCTCCCAGAAATCTGACATTTCCCAATCATCTATCACTTAGCCCTTTTTTTCCCCTCCAAATAATGATCTCACAGCAAGTGCTGATAAAATACTCTTATAGTCAAATGCACTGAAGGTCCTCTTAAAGACATGTGGGTACTGCCCTTCAGCAGGAGACTTGCCCTTCCTATTACCTCTGTTCTGCCCCATTTTTGAACTCTTCCTGCCCTTTTATCACAAACTCAAAAAGTCACCTTGCTGCACCCTTCTTCAGTCCCTCTCTGCATCAGCTGGCCCTTACTAATTTGTCTTGAAGCTTCCTTTGTTCTTTTTCCCTGCTTCAAAATAATTTTTATGCTCTGCTGCCTTTATAGGAAGATACATTGATTCAAATAGAAAATCCATGTTGTTACTTCCTCCCTCTTACCCCTGTTTATTGACAATATTTGGAGGGATGGGAACTTTGTACATCTGGAAAGCACCTACAGAAGAATCTCAGCAATAAAATCTCCACAAAAAACAAGAGACCTGAATAGTGTTTCAAGAAAACATTCTGGTTTCTGTGAGCCAGTGCTGTACCTTCAACAGCAATTTCACTCCTTCTCTAAGAGAAAACTTCTACCCTCATGTGTGAAATGTGTTTCCTTTTGTACACTGAATAACCTTGGTCCTTAATCTTTGGTCCTAAGTCTAGATCTGAAAATGCTGTATCTGTGGCATCCCAGGTCTTTACTTCACCTAATGACTGAATTTTCTGATCTCAGACATTTAATCTCTGTGTATAAGCATGTCAAGCTGGCTCAGAAAATGAGAGTTGGAAATCACATTCTCCATAAAAGAAGTCAAATTCTCCCATTATATGAGCAACATATCTTTTATCTAAAAGATTCTAGATATATTTTGTAAATGTATTTTATGTACATAAATGTAAAATATATGTATTTTATACATATATATACATATATATATTATGTAAAATACATATGTATTTTGTACATATATTTTATCAACATATGTTTTATCTAAAAGGACAGATACAAAGCAACATCTAAAGGTCTGACACCAATTAATATTGCCCCCTAATTTCTTGAAAGAAAACTAGTGCACATAATTCTTCACACATTTACCCAAAAAAGGCCAGATCATTACTTGGTATTTTCAGGCACAAGCCAGTTAAGAAATGAGGGCCATGCTGATTTATACCAGCTAAGTATTTTGATCCCATATTTGCTAACACTCCTCTGGTATTTTTCTTATGACTTTTTCATTAATTAATTAATGTGTGATTTATTTTGATGAATAGGACAATGGTCCTCAATTTGGTTTTGTAATTAAGGTACATGATCAACCACTTGTTATTCAAAAGTATGTTGAACTGTTAAGGTCTGTTAAAGAAAAAAAAATAGTACTTTCTCTCTACAGCAACATGTGGAGTCCTTGAAAAAGCTGTAGAGATCTAGAGAAAACAATTTTAAAGTCCTTATAAGCTAAGTACTTTGCACAGACACATTATAAAGCTCTTTTCCATTTCTCAACAAGAACAATGACTTTGTAATAGAAATAAAATCATAAAAAGATTAAAGTTATGGTGGTCATGGAGCACGCGTTCACTGCACAAATATGCCCTATATTAACTGAAATGTAGTGACTGTAAAAATATTAACCCTATGCTAAGGTAGGTAGAGAGTAGAAAACTGAATTAAGTTACACTAATGATTTATTTCTTTTACAGGTAGATTGCATTTTATTCCCACTGAATTTCAACCTGCATGAATAACTGAAATACTCACATGTCAGAGACAGGCTGGTTTTGTGGCATTTCCACCTAGGTCTCTAGCAGGAGAGATTACCTCATGAGGGAGCCTGTTCCTAAGTTTACTGCAGGTAGATAAGATATTCAAGAGACACATCTCTGTTCCTGAACTTCTCTGTGCTTCACTCTACTGCAGTAGCTTCCAAACTTTTTATTGCATCCTTATATTATAGCAGCACAGGGAGAATGGCATTGGCATGTATGTGATAAGTTTGCTCTCAGATATGGGCAAAAGATAACCAAAGATATAGCAGGGTTTACCCTGCCCAAATATTTATGGGAAAGAGCAAACTCTTTAAAAGGCCAATGTAAATAACAGGAGAAAATTATTGTTTACGTTTTTTATCTTGTGAGCTAAAGCATGAAAGAATTCAGCACCTTGCTTAGAGACCTCATTCTTGATCTGATGCTACTTGCCACTAGACCAGTGCTTTAATCAGTGCTAACTCACAACTTCCATATGAAGCTCAGTCTTCTCTTTCTCATTCTTTCACTAGAAAGTGTTGAGAGAAGCTGTTGGAAAATTGGCAACAAAAAATCATTGAGAACCCATTAAAAAAAAAAAAAAAAGAGTTATCCATGACAGTGGTCGTCTTCACTGTACTGACACAATTTGCTGAAATCCTATTGAAAGAACAAGTGTTCTTCATTTGAAAAGGAAAAAAAAAAACCAAAAAAACAAAAAAAAAACCAAAAAAAACCATAAGAAAGTCTTTCACGGTGCAAAAAGATGGGAAAAATTTGCAGCTTCCAAAATGTGAGGTTCTGGCCCAGAGTGAAAAGCATACCAGGCACATACACAAAAAGTTCTAGGACAAATACTTTCAGTAGAGGAGCTTACATGAGCAGCAGAAGCCACAGAAAAGCACAAACTAGAGATAAAGTGAAGGTAATGGACTGAAAAAGGAGTGCAGCTCTGAAGAATAGCCTAGAAAGGGAACCATCTGGGCAGAATTATGTCTAAAAGATGTTGGCAATGAAATATGACTTATTCCATTCCTTGTGGGTTTAGGAAAATGGGATTTTTTTCATTTTTTTAAATAAAGAAATTTTTTGCATCTTTTATTCTCTACCAATCAGCAGAACCTCAAATCTGACTTTTCTAAAAGAGGATAATTCTTCCTGTTTATTAGACAAGCATGGTTTGTTTATGTCATAAACTTTGTAAAACTAAATACTGTAAAGTTTTTTTACATTATTTTAGATAGATTTTTAAAAGTATGGAAAAGTGTTGATAAATTTTGGCCTAAATTTTAAACTGCAGAAGACCAAAACTCAGATATTAGACATATATTAAAACAGGTAAATGAGCTGAGTCATTTAGATATAACTCAGCACCACTTCTAATTTAAGATAACTTCAAATGTTTAACACTGAGCTCTGACGTCTTAAATGTCAGTTTCCTTCCTCAAGAAAGAATATCCTTTTCAAGAAGTGGCATATCTTTTTTAGACTCACTGTTAGAGTTGTGCCCAAACTTTTTGGCTCAGTATGAATGTCCTGTGATGAAAGGAAGTTCACTCACAGGGCCATTCCAAACTGGCATTCAGATCATCTGAGGAATGGTATAGAAGATGCAAACACCTTGAGATATTGGTTAATATTGATCTTGCATATCAGATTTGCTACCCTAATATTGGCTACGACATTTTCTAAGTACAGTGATCTCAGCCTTCAAAGAATTTTTCCAGCTGAATTTTCAGGGTTCAGTGAGTCTGGGTAAGGCTTAAATTACTTGAGGTGCACCTTTGAAGAAGTACAAATCTTCTCAAACTCAAAATCAGTACTGATTTAATATCTCATTCCCTTTAAAGTATTTATTAAAGAAAAGCCAGACTAAGACTATTACCATTGATTCAGAGCAGCAGGAAATATGGATTCACTCCATCAAAACTAAAAGCCAGTGTCATGGATTGACTCTGGCACAGTGCCAGTGCCCCCTTTCTTTTCCACTTGACGCAAACAATATCTCACAAACCCATTCCCAAAACCTGACGTTATCAGTTCAGAACCACCCAGGTTTACCTACAGCTTATTACTCACAAATATTCATAGATTTTTGATGTCCAAAGTAAACAATCTGTCTTTCATTTTTACCCCTTGCTCACTTTGAAGTTGTCAGCAAATCTCAGATAATGGCCACTTGATAATGTTAAGGACATAATCTCTCTCCAAATAAATTGCCATAACCATCCACTTCCTGTTATCATCTTTTCTCTTACTGTCAATCAATTCATATGCATTCTCTCATACCTTTAATTATTTCATTTTTTTTTTACTTTTAATGTTTGTTTCTTTTTTTTTAATTTTGCTAATTTCTCTTTATTGCTGAAAGCTTTGAACTGTTTCCCCTCTACATTTTTGTTCATTGTTTTTTCTTCAGTCTTTCAAAGTATTTCAGCTATCTTTCAAATGGCCTTTTATCCTACTCCTAGCTCATTTTTAGACTCTGTTCCTTTCAACTTATTTTCTTCTGTTTTGTTACCCATTTTCTTTAGATTTCTTTTCAACAGATCTGACTCTCTCAAAATGTTTCCTTGGAAATACCTCTGACATACTGGCAATGTTTGAACCAGGATGATTTCCTCTCCATAGGTGAAAATAGCATGAAAGAATGGACTTGACATCAAAGGCCCCAAAAGACACAGTCTCTGTTAATAGCCCATCTAAATGTCCAGAGGAATTCCTAATTAAAATAAGAACTGATAGAACTGACTTTTTTCGCATATAGTGCTGTGCCTGTTAATATATGTTATGCTGTCTGTGAAAAATGAAAGGCAACATTAGACAGAAGTTGAAATACTCCAGGGAAACACAATTTAGGAGACTATCTGGACTGATGTTTTCCACAGATTTGAATAAAAAATGCCATATGAGCATCAAACTACAATCCTACTGAAGGAAAAAAAAATTATAAATCCAGCACTTACAATGTCTAAGCTTTTAATTTCTTCAGCACTTCCAGAAAAATAGCAGTTTTACTGTGAAAGCAACAGTGTATATATGCATGCCTGTAAGTTTGGTCTGGCTCTTATGGAATACAATATTTAATGGTCCACAGGAGGCAGGGTGTACATCTTGTACTAATTACTCTTTGAAGACATACTCTCTGCTTTCTATCAGGAGCACAGAACACAGCATGTGCATATTGTTTCCTACAATTGCTTTGTTCAATACATGGGCTTTTAAGCCAGGAGATCTCTAATTCAGCATGGGCAGTCCTTATGGTTGCAAATGTGGGACTCAATATTGTCAATACTGGCTTTTAAAAGATATAATAATAATAATGGTAATATTGAAACTTACCTTTTTGTCAGTCATGTGAATTGGAGGACTCTTCATGTCAGTCATAGTTAACGTGTGTGGAAACGCTTCAATCTGGCTTAACCTGGTTTGAAAACATTTTGGCAGTACCTTTAGACACTGGCTTAAGTTTATCTGCCTGAAGACCCCTCTAGATCTGGGTGTGAAAGGCTTCCTCCAACATTGCAACCTCACCTTATTCTGCTTACCTCACCTTGTCTCCTCACCTTGTTCTGCTCTTTGTTGTGGTTTATCCTTTACAGCCACCTCAACTTCTCCTCTTCAGACTTGCAGAATCCCCAGTACAATGGCAGTGAGTGGCCAAAGCCTGGGAAAAGTGCAGGGTTACTGATCTCAGCTCCAGTTTGGGAGAGTGTTTCAGCACAAGTTTAGTCCTGGTAAAGTGACTTTGCTAGACAAGACAAAAATATGACCTAATCCATTAGTTGCTTCTACTGATTCTGATGGACTCATATTTTTAGAAAACTTATATCTTTTAAAACTATGACAAAAATGTTCTGAGAAGAGTATTAGTGGAAATGGGTTGAGATATGGGATGTCTAAACTATTTGGGATTTCTCTGGGTATCCCTTTTAAGTGGTAATACATGCATGGTGAGTATATCCTCATGAGCTAGATATAATAGGCTGAAGAATAGGGTTTTTTTCTTAAGTATGCTTAAGACCAGCACACACTTTATGTAGCCAAGAGGAAAGGAAGTGCAAGCTCTTTTCTAGAAAACATGAAGAAGCCTCACATTAAACAAAGAGAGAAATAATTGATCCATGTTTGGAGTTCCAGTGATGAGCAATTCTGCACTAGCAAACAATGATATTTTCACCACTTTCTTCATGCTGCTTCTCTCTTAGGAATAGCTAGCACTTATTGATTACTATTAGAGAGCGCACATGGCTAAAAGAGCAACATTAGCAACAGGCAACACTTTGACTGTTATTTTTTTCTTAAAGACTGTGAAAACAGTGTAGGAAGGGTCAGCTGTGGAAGCAATTAAAAAGGTCTGAAACAAGAAACTGTGTCCCCAGCTCGAACTCCTTTCCCTTCAGTGTAGTAAAGGTTCTTTAAAATAAATTCTCAATGAGGAGCTTGTAAAGATATAATGTTTTGTCAGTTGAGTGTGGGATGAAATGTTAGAACTCTTAAAAAACTAAGCAAAAACAAACACTAACAAAAAGCCAAATTGTTTGAACATCTTGTAACTTTATAAACCTCAGTAACTTTGGAGCCTATTTTACCCACTAAATAAGTACAAACTTCTTCCAGCTTTTCCTCAATGTGATTTAAGGGTGGTTTCAAGGTAGCTAGTGGACAGAATGGGCATTGGCCTCTACAGTAGAGTGGTCTGTAAAGCTAAGATAAAACTTTTACTGGGTGCTCAGCATCCAAATACCTCTCTCAAGATATAGTTTTTAGAGCAAAAAGCACACACAAAAGTGTGTTCCTCCATTAAGATGCACAAGCTGGTCATGCACAAGCTGTATGCAAGTGTCTCCTGGCAACATTTGCTGACTATGTAAGGTTCAGGGCTTGGTTAGGTTAGGAAGTGTGCATGGAACCTGAAGGGCCAACACTCAAGTCTGTGAGAGAGATGCAGTTTGCTCTATCTGTGCTGTTCTTTGCCTCCTTACCAAACTCATATGCCATTTCTGAATTTACCCACAAAAACTTTGAAAACATATTGGAAATTCTTGTGATTATTTCAGATGAAGAAATTAAGTTGCAGAAATTATGAACAGTATTCTTTCAGCTAATAATGTGCCTTATTTTGGAGACAAACTCAGAATAATAAAGGTATTTAGAAAAGTATTTTGCTTGGCCTATCCAAGTAGTTTTGAATGTTTAGATTAGAAAAGCAGCAATCATCAATTTAGGACAGCGTGGCACTGTCTACTGCAGAGTAAGGACTGCAAAGTTAGCTAAATTAGATATGATCAACCAGCCTGAAGCTTTCAATGAGTTCATATAAGCACACCATGCAAAACACAGCCTAGCCAGAAGAGCTGATGTGGCTGGAAAAAAAAAAAAAAAAAAAAAAAAGCAAGCATAGCTAGTTCAGCTTGACAGAAAAAAAGTCTGTTGGGACAAAATCTGTTTTGGGCACGTCTGGAAACCTGAACCTTCCTGTCCATATCCTTTAGCTGCATAGCATGAGAAGCTGGAAGAAAGCACAGAGAAACAGGAGCTTGAAGCCACTTTAAGGGATCAGAGGCAACTCAGTGCAAAAAAAGCATCTGAATATGAGCACAAGAGCCAGCTGCAATTGTGGAGACAGGAAAAAGCAGCTGGAACAAGACAGCAAGAGGAAAGCCAAGCAAGGGCTGCTGAAGAGGCAGCGGCAGGATCCCATATCCCAGGTTCTGCTTGCTCACCACACTTTACACCCTTGGGAGCTGTGTACTCACCTTCTCTAAGAGTTCTCTTTTCCTATGGAGACTCTCATATGTTACATACTAACAGAGGTAGCAGAAAAAACATTACATACCCATTCTGATTTTAAGTATGAATGAGGAGGACAGGAGGGAGTATGCTAGTTATTCTCAGGACTCCATGTCCAGATGTTGTGACAGATGTCTGAAGAATCACTGTTGTTAAAATTTCATCAGATTTGTCTGAAAGCAACAGTTTTTGAAAAATATGCTCTGAAAAGAGAGGGGATAAAGAATGAAAGACACAAGAAGAAAACACCAAAATGCCTAAACAGAAAGACTGTGAATTTTTCAACTAAATGGTTTCTCTGTGATTCACTGATTCACAGAAATGAAACTTTTCACAGCAGACTGTTTCTAATCATTTCTCAGGCAGAGGCCCACGGGCACAGTGCAGACCTCCTGAGCTGACAAGAGAAAGACTCATTGCACACAACTTACTATTGCAGGCTTAGAAATTACTTAAGTTCAGCTCATTTGCTCTGGGCTTATATTTCTCATTAAATACGCTCACCAGCAGACAGCAGGAATTTTGCCACCATTTTTTCTTACAAAGTCTATATGTGTGCACAGACACACACACAGACACGAAAACCCCAAGAATATATAATATTTTCCTTGTGTGGCATAGGAATGCTCTTCTTAAATTCCAAGCACTTCAGAGGCAACCATTTGCTAAGCCACTTTACTAATAAGTTAAATAAAAATTATTATAATATCTACTAAATGCTAAACACCTATTTGCTTCTTCCAGCTAACTGGTCTGGAAATACATCTAAATTAAAGATGGCTAGTGCAAATGTATTAATTCAGTAGCAGTGATATGAACATCCTTGTAAATGAGAGCTGATCAGGTGCCAAGCAAGATTGAAGATATTTTACAGCTTTCACCTTTGCTTTGCTCAAGTTAGTGTGAAAAAGAAAACTCATATCTTTGACCTTATGAAGCAGCTTTCATCCATAAATGTGAAGATTTCTAAGCTGAGACAATAATTTTCACTAAGATGAATTTGCTACTGATGGTATAAAAAATTCATTATATGGGTATTTCCTCAAGGGTGAAATATATTTTTAAACAGTGTGCATCAAAGAAAAACACTTGTAGATCTTCCCATTTGGCATGGAATCTGGGGCTTCTACAACCAAATGGAAAAAAACGTAATAGTGTGAAAAGATTTGAAGAACTATATGTATTTCAACACACTTCTCACCTCCAAAAGGTTTTAAGAAGTGAGAGTCGTATTTTCATGACATTTTATAAGTGTATCTACTGAGAAAAAGCAACATATTTCATATTTGGTTTTACATTTCTAGAAAAAAAACACAATAATATCTCTGAAATTCCAGAAGCTTGAACAAGATCAACATTCTAACATTGAAAACAGAACTAACCTTACAGGAAAAAAAAAAAAAATAACCTTGTTATCTATTTTGCATCATGTCTCATTTGCATCTCAGAGAAGCTCATAGTTTTTTTTTCATCCCACTCAATGACAAAAGGAGGTATCACATAGAGATTTAAGATATTTAATCTAAGTTTAACAATTTATCTTGTATTTGTAATATTGCTAATGAGTTGCTTGTCAGGTAGTGGAAAAATATCTTTACAATTAGTGGCTTGACTTCAACTTATCTTTCATCTGTAATATGTTGCAGATCTGCACTGAAATTAATGGCATTATGATGTAATAATGTAAAATTTGGATAAGAGAAAGTTTAAGTGAAATGTAGCCAGATTTTTAGAAGGAAGGGAAATATAGCAGTAGTAGAACAATTCAGTTTTCAGTAAGTCATTTTAATGCTCACTTTGACAAAAACAGAAGTCCTGGGATGTTGTATGGTGACTCGAACTGAATCATGAGAAAATTAGCTTAAGTCCAGAAAGAATCTGAAAAGGAAAGGTAATTCTTTGTCTACATTACGATTCCAACCATGTGGAGAGAAGCCTAAATACAAACAGATGTATGTCCTGGCACAATATCCAGTTAGCCATCATATTGTTCCTCAGGAAAAACTGAGGACATTTAGATGAACGCCTTCATGTCTCAGAGTCAAAAAGAATAAGTATCCCTAAATCCATTCATTTTCTTAAATGTGTTGTTTCTAGAGCTAGCTGAAAATTTCCAGATCAGGCCTCACAAATACTTGAGTCCTGAAATCATACTTTGTTTCTTTCTCCTCTTTTAGTCATTGCTTATGAACATTCACACTTGTAATTTTTTGTTTGCACATATGTTAAGAGAACATCTGTTCCTTGTTCCCATCTGGTTAAGATTATCTATGTATCTATGCATGAAGAAGGCAACTGCTTATCTGCTACTGTCACTTATTTTTATCTAATTTTATAAGCCAGAGGGAGTAGGGATGGAATAAAGCAGGAGGAGAACCTCTGCCTTGCATTAACTGCTGAAATGCATGACTTTCACATAACTCATATGCTCAGCAAGTAAATATCAAGGCAGTTTATTGAAGGAGGCCAGTGCCATTATCATCAACTTGGAAACAGAAAAAAAAGAAAAAGAAAGGACACCTGACTTGGCAGAGGTCACCAGATCAGTGAAGGATGTTAGCATAAGCACCAGTTCTCCTGCATCCCAGCTCATGTCTCTATCCTTTACTCTACACCATCTTCTTATAATAAGGGAGTGAAACAATTTTTTCATACAAATAGTTTGAAACAAATAGAGAAGATAAGAAGGGGTTTATTCATAAAGGGATAAATTATATAGGATATCCTTGGGACAACAAATACTTTTATCAGTAGATCCTAAGTAGATGAGTTCTTTTGCATGATGATTGATAAAGAAATTTGGACATTAGTCAACATACAGAACCCTGCACCTGTTACATTTCTTTTTTTCCATCACTGAAGATGGCATTATTTCCTACAGGTTTGGTGTTTCAAAAAGACAGAATTTGGCTTCGATAATATATTCTTTAGAACTGTGCAAGTTCTCACAGATGCCCATCATAAGTGAACTACAATATACTTGGTAATAACATTTATTGGCTACAAGTCATGTCTGTGATTACCTCTCCTGTCAGGCATAGTGTAAGAATATGTTTAGCTACAGATTTGATGCAGGCAGCCAGGCTTCTATAATGAAGGGGTTTTTAGTTATGAAACCCTGTTTTTCTAACTGTCTGATATTTTACAGCAGAAGCAATTGTGGCAGAATTAAAGTTCCTCTTTTTATCTCCATTTCTATTTACCTATCTGCAAAACAATCTAAATTTTCACTGCAATACTCCTTGACATTTCCCTTATCTATTTTCCTTTCTCATTAGTCTGCCTCATGAGAAAATATGGGTGCAGAATACTAAATCAACTTTATGGTCACCACATCTGGTGCATACTGACAGACAGATTGTCCCAACACGAAAGTCTTGGGCTTGAGGGTTTTTTTTTTTACCAGAAGCATAAGAACATGTTCTTCTTGAACTGGAATATGTTCAAAAAAAACCCTTGCAAATAAAAGACTGTTATTCACCTAAAGGAAGCAGGTGGCATCATTATAAGGAAGCAATGCAAGCATACAAATGAGAGGAGAAAAATGTGTTTTCTATCCTTTGTCTGAAGATTTGGCTGGTTCATTTAATTTACCTTTTTGATTATATATATGAAGAAATTTTCATTAAAAAGTATCCCAGGAGGAACTGGTCTATGTCCAAGGACTTGCAATTTTTATTTTAATCTTGACAAGGCAGAATACAGTATTGCCAGGGGTCAAGACCAAGCATCAAGATTTGTGATTTCATTTCCTAGGGACTGATTCCCTTGATCATTGCATTCAGTAGGATGGGATTCTGGTCTCAGCTGCAGGTCACAGGCATTTCCATGATACAGATAAACAAAATATTAAATTGAATGTATTTACACAATGTGTTTCACTAAGGGTCTTCATGACCCACCTGTGGGGCAGAGATGTTTAGCTCCTCATTTGTCATCTGCAGAACAGAAACCATCTGACTTTTCTGTAATCACACAGAAAGTAAGAAGTAAAGGATAGGACAGGCCTTTCCCTATTGTAGATACTCAGCCAACCCTTGGCTTTGACAAGAGCATAATTTCTCTTCAAACAGAAGATTCAACCAATATTGGTAGCACCCACCCACCAAACATGACTGCTGCTTCTCCATTGCTGGCAGTTTACTGCGAGTGCAGTGTGATGTGTTGGACCACTTTTCAAAGTTCTGCTAGCCACCAGCAAAAAGTATTTTTGCAAAAAGATGTATTATAGGCCCTTAGGTTTTCACACTTCATCTGTAAATAGGATGTAATGGGAGAATCCAGACAGCAACAATAAAATTATTGAAAAAATGAGAGAAGGGAAAAGAAGAGCAACTTTGTGTTTCTAACACTCTATGATGTTTTTCTTTAGCACCAGCGAGTCTGAAGTTTTAGTTAACTCTTTCCCGAAACTTACAAATACAAACATGGCATGAGATACGAGCAAGTAAATAAGGGTATCCTAACTAGATCCTGCTCTTCTCCCAGTTGTAAAGGTCCAATATAATTATTCTAGCTCTATGGAAAATCCACACAAAAGCACAAAATGGCTGAGGTTGGAAGGGAACTCTCGAGGTCCCCTTGTCCAACACCCAGCCTAAGCAGGATCACCTAGAATTTGGTGGCTCAGGACCAAGTCCAGGCGGCTTTTTGAATATAAGATGGAGAGAGATGGAGATACCCTCAGAGCAATGTTCAGAGGGACCTGCCTGTGTTTCAGTGTGTGTCCATCACCTCTGGTCCTCTCATTGGTACCGCTGGCAAGAGCCTGGCTCCATCCCTTTTGCACCCTCCCCTTTACGTATTTATACACATTAATGAGGTCCCCATAAGACTTCTCCAGGCTGCAGAGGTCCATCTCTCTCAGTCTTTCCTCACAGGAAAGGTGATCCAGACCCTTAAACATCTCTGTAACCTTTGCTGGACCTCAATGCATCCATCTCTCTCTTGTACTGGGGAGTCCAAAACTGGACTCAGCTTTTCATGAATGATCTCAACAGGGCTGAATAAAGGGGAAGCATCATCTCCTCTAACCAGCTGATAGCACCCCAACACTCCTAATGCAGCCCCAGACACCATTTCCCTTATTTTTTGTGATGCAACTTTGCTGGTTCATGTTTAATTTGGTGTGTTCTGGGACCCCCAACAGTAAATCTAGGCTTAAAATCTAACAGTAGAAAATCTACACTCAATCAGCATTTCA